GAAGGCGGTGCAACAAAGGCGTTTCCGGCCTTCGCTGACGTACTAATATGTCTGCGTCCATCTTGTGGAGTCTTCATGGACGCGGCCATATTGGAATACCAGCCGTACAGAACTAAAGCGTCCGTTTTTATTTTATTTTTTTTTTTCGTGAGAGTAGCCAGGGTCAGCCAGGAAGATGAGAAAGCCAGTGAAACTCTCCCACTCCCTATCTTCACGACCCTTGCAAAAAAAATCGATAGATTTTGAGTGCCTGGATATTCTCAACGAATAAATGGCACGGATCAAATTGCTTTCAGCAACCTAGGCAAAAAGTAGTAAGCCGTTTCCTTTAATCACTATGTTAGAAAAAGGAAAAGCAAACTTGAAAACGGACAAATTGAAGTTCAAGAGTCTGTTCAGAAGGGAAACGCTACTGGAGTGAATAAAAGGTGAAAAAAGGATAAGTGAACAACTACCACTAACTTCTGACTGAAAAAGGCTGGCAGAAGACACCTTATAGGACAGAAGGAGGTTTGGAGAAACTGAGAGTGTCCATCACAGGGTAAAAAAGATAGTGGGATAATCCCTAGGTTCTATTTGGAGTGGGGCAAGGGAGAAAGTCCACTAAAGGTGAAACCTCTAAAAGACAGGTAGATGGCCAGGTCTTTCTTCCTAGCCCATGGTAGTAAGGAAAGGAAGCTCCAGTGAAACCTGTTCGCTTCCTAGAAACATGTAAGTCTCCAGTGCATATGGGCAGTGTCTGGACTTCAGGTGCACTGGCCGGGAATTGAACCCAGGTGTTATGGACTGAACTGTATTGCCCCAAAATATGTCAACCTGGATAGGACATGATTCTCAGTATTATAAATTTTCCATTTTGTCATCTGATGTAATTAGCCTGTGTTTTGTAACTCCTAACCTCCACTATGTTAATCTGGTGGCATCAGTGACAGTTAGGTTAATGAGGCAGGATATAATAATCCACAGGAGTACGTTGTCTGTTGAGTCAATGACTTGTGAGATATAAAAGAGATTAAACAAGCTGGCAGAGATCAGCGGGACCTACTACCACCAATAAAGAAGAGCCAGAAGCACAGCATGTCTTTTGGACCTGAGATCCCTATGGTAGAAATCTCCAACAACCAGGAGATACAGAAAGCCTTCCCCTAGTGCTGGTATTCTGAATTGAGATTTACACCCTCCTAAACTATAAGAGAATAAAGTTGTTACAGCCATCAACTTGTATTTGTGATAGAGCAGGACTGGATAGTTAAGACATCTGGCCTTATGCATGGTAGCTGAGACTTCTTCCACTGAATCAACACTGCCCTCAACTCCTCCATTCCATTTCTCAGCCAGTAATCATTAATGCACAAGCAATGAAGAACTGACTTATTTTTTTGGAATTATCTGAAATACTGGTTATAGAGGTTGATGAGAAAAGGTTTAAGAATCAGCTCAAAACACAACCCGTGTGTCATCCTTACACTGAGCACCATTTATTATAAATGCTATTTCAGTGTAACTTTTGATCACACCTTCTTTTCTGTCCTCATTACTTTCCTTCATTTCTCTGAATTACTGCTTCATTTGCCACCTCACTGGTCCCTACAAGTGACTCTATAACCAAAGGATTATTCAAAAGGTCATAAAGTATATGTGACATGGTAGTAGGGCTAGTAGTGCCTGAAGTCCTACAAGTTGAGGAGAGAGAATCACCATCAACACAAAGTTAAAGGTGATTCCTATGAATCGCAGTCTGTTCTTCCATCTCTATATTCAGTTGCTGAGTCTTTGAAATGGCATGTGAAATGCTTCTTGGGGACAATTCCATTCAAGAAACTGCCTTGTAATGGCTCATTCATGTCAATGAGGAAACACTCTGATTAGCTGTAACACTGGCATAGTAAAGATGTCTGATCTGCTCTAAAGTCAGGAGGGGGAGAGAGAATCACCATCATCATCACATCCAAAACTGATTCCTATGAAGTACAGGTCACACATAACTTTGCTCTGCAACCTTTTTACCAATTCTGTCACCAACCAGCTGTTCCTCCCATAGAAATCTACTTCTCTGCTGAGTTCAATAATTAGAATGGCCACACACATCACACAGACAATATTCAAGATTATTGAATTTATTATAGAACAGGTCACAAATCGAATCAGGAAAGTGTCAAGATACAGTGCTTCTGTCAGGACAGCTTCTTGGCCATGCCTACAGGCAGTGGGCCTTCAGTCCCTTGGGCCTCTTGGACTAGCCCAGCCTCTGCTCTGCTCACGCAAGTTTTACACATCTCTCTAGCTGCACCAGTAAGTGCCTAGAGGCACCTTACTCTTCACAGAAAGCCTCACCCCAAAGGCCCTCAGCTCCTTAGCGTCCTAAGTCACCAAGCCTACCTCCATCAGCAAGTGCCCAAAGGCATCCTATTCTGCCTGCAAGCCTCCTGCCCAAAGGAGCTGATGTTTCTCATTCCATGGTCCAGGAAGCTCACAGCACTATCTTGCACCAGGCTCCTGGTCCTGCTGTCACCAGATGTCTGCCATCACTTCTTGCTGTATGGCATGGTCTTGGACGTTCTCAGTGCAGGGACCCCAGTTAGAAAAGCTGTGATCTGCTCCTGTCTTTTCTTCTTGGTGGCAGTGAGGTCCACTCTGTCCATATGAGGAATGGCTCATTTTGTGCCAAGTGGATGACAAAACTCACTAAACCCCATGTTAGGATTCCATACACCTTATGTGCATGGTTCCATCCAGTCACTTGGTGGAAGTTACAAGAGGATGCTGAGAAAAACCATATAAAAGTGATCCATTGAACCCCATTAATTCATTATATCATTCATTTACTTTCCAAATCAATATGTGATTAGTCTGTTTTCTTTGGGATGGGAAATAGAAAATAATGTAAACCAGTACTCACCAGTGTTATTTTCTGGGATGACTGAAATGATGGCGCTTCCACTCATTACATACTTTCCAGCCATAGAAAAAATTGGAAAGTCTTGGTTATTGTTTGTGATGGTCAATTTGGTAGCCCTGGTCACAACAGGGCTTCTGAACATGTGAAAGGTGGCTAGTGCAACTAAGGAGTTTCTTTTATTGTATTAGATTTTTCATTTTAAAAATGAAATAGTCACAAATTATTACTATCAAGTTATTGATCATCTACTTGGATATAGGGAGCTCTGGTAGCATAGTGGCTAAGGCACTTGACTGCTAACCAGAAGGCTGGTGGTTCAAACCCACCAGCCACTCCTCGGAAGGAAGATGGAGCAATCTACTTCCGTAGTGATACTGCCTCAGAAACCCAAGGAGGGCTCGCTATGAGTCGGGTCTGACTCGATGGCAAACAACAACAACAACAACTTGGATATATGAAGTCAGGACAATGATAAGGCATTTAAATCAACTTGGGGATAAACAGTTGTGATGTAGTGTACATATTTTTCTAAATACATGAGGGATAAGAATCAGAATCAGCGCAAAGCTGGTTCCTATGAGGTGCAGGTCAGACACACCTCCACTCTCCAACTTCTTCACCGTTTGTCACACCAATAGATCCTCCTCTGCCAAACCTGACCATTCTTGACAGGGGCCATACAGAACTCACAGACCATTCTCACACTTCTGTGGTTTGTTGGGGAGGTAACAGGGTACAACATGGGATCAGGAACAATATGTAAGTAAGCAGCAGGATATAACTAGGATGCAGTTGGTCAGTCAGGGCAGCTTGACTGCAGGATAACCCTCACAGCAAAAGTATTCACTGCTGATGCCATTCCAGCTAAGTACCTTACACAGCTCTCTGCCTCTGGAGCGTGTCTGCTATATGCATGCTCCACCACAGGCTCTCTATGGCCCCCTGGGCTAGCTTGAATCCACCACAGCAGGTCTCTCAGGTGCTCTCCACCATCAGACTGCTGCATCGTCATCCTCTCTGCTGCTAACCGGCCCAGCTCATAGCCAGTGCAGCAGCTTGCTCAGCTCCTAGCTGTGCTCTACATTGGGCCACTCAGCTGTGATGACTCTGCTATGAAGCTCTCTGCCCAGCTCATGGAGTAGCAGCATCCTCAGCTCTTCTAGACGTTCTCTGCTGTCAGACCTCTCCACTGTAAGGCCTCTCCACTGTCTGCCACTGTGCCATCAGCCATTCCTCCAGCAACTGGCTAGCTCACAGTGTAGCAGCTTCATGACCATTTGGGTTCCATGTGGCTCTGGCTTATTGCCATCCCAGCACTTAGACAGCATTTCTTCTACCATCAAGAAGGCCTTCCCAAACAGCCTCCCTCTGAGCCATTTCCATACTCTGATTGTCATTAGTTACAAACTGGGGCCTTCCACACAATATCAGAGTTTGGCTAATTTTCAATTACCCATGAGATGTCAATCACCTCCAAACCTCCCCCCCACCAAAAACAAAAAAACCCACTGCCATCGAGTCGATTCCGACTCATAGTGACCCCATAGGACAGAGTAGAATTACTCCATAGTTTCCAAGGCTCTACTTTTTTTTTTTTTTTTAACTTTTATTGTGATTTGGGTGAAACTTTATAGAGCAAATTCACTTTCCATACAGCAGCTCACATATACTTTGACTCATGACACTGAGTGCCATTTCCCACAATGCAACAGCTCCCCTCTCACTTCTTCCTCATAGTTACCTCTTCCCTTTGTCCTTCCCTAACATGCATTCTTTCCCCTGGAGCTGTCTCTCTCCAAGGCTGTAAATCTTTATGGAAGCAGACTGACTGCTTCATCTTTCTACTATGGGTTTGAACCACCGACCTTCTTGGTTAGCAGCCAAATGCTTTAACCACTGCACCACCAGAGCTCCTTTCAATCACTTCAAGTCTTCTTAATTACCAGACAGGCTGGACTAAAGTATTACATGATCAAGTTGTCTACATCCTACCCAGGAAATGTCAGTCAATCCAGTGAATACCCTGGGGAAAAGTAATATACCTTCAAGGGTAGGAAACAATCAAAGTGACACCCTCTCCCCACATTGTTTTTCAAATATTCTAGATAAAGGTAATAACGTCCAAGGGCTGAGGGTACAAGATCTCCCAAGCCATTTTTCCTAAAAAACAAGGCAAAAGAAACTCATTTCACCCTTACAGTCACACAATCTATCCAGGAATGTAGATCCAGGAATGTAGGATCTCCTTGGGGAGGTGAAACAGGGGCATTAAATAAAGACCTTGTTTCCCAGGATGGTTCAGTACCATTAAAAGGAGAACTGAGCCCAAAATGCCATGGGTAACTGAAAATGGTTAATGCATTTGGCTCCTAACCTCAAAAGTTGGAGGTTCAAATCCACCACCTGAAAGAAAGGCCTGGTGATCTACTTCTGAAAACTCACCCATGGTAAACTGTAGGGAGAAAAGTTCAAATATCTACACAAAGGGAAGGGCAGAGGCTGAGAGACAAAGGGGTTGAAGGGCGAAGGGGCTGATGGACCAGAGACAGGCCTGCAAGCCAACACCACTGAGGGGCTGTCCTGACCAAAGTACTGTATCCTGAGTGTTCTTGATCCTGAATTGTGACCTGTTTCTTCCCTAATAAACTCCATGATTGTGAGTATTGTCTGTGAGTTCCACATGGCCACTGAAACAAATTACTGAGCCCAGCAGAGAAGTACAGGTGCCATGGGAGGAATGGGTGGTTTCAGAAATGGTGAAAAGATTGGAGAGAGCTGGTATGTATGACCTCCTCCTCATAGGACTCAGCCTTGGGTTAATGCTGATGGTGGTTGCTTTTCTCATCATGAAAGTGAAAGAGGTCAGAAACCTCCATCACTCCTTTTTTACCACCTGCTTGCTAGGAGTGTTCTCACTACTTCTCACAACCACCCTGTGAGGCAGATAATTATGCAAAAGATAAAACAGAGACATGATTCAGTTAAGTATCTTGGTAACAATGCTCATGCACTTGGTTTGCAGCAGGGCAGTGTTCAAACCCAGAGTGACTTAAGGACTCACTCCAAACCACTGTGTGAGAATACTGCCACTGAGCCCTCAAGACTGAAGCCATGGGGACAGGTGACGGGTGATCTTCACTGGGACCATGAGGATCAGAGTGTGGGAGCAGAGGCTGGGTGGACCAGGTATAGTAATGCACTGATCCTCCTTCACCTGTGATTCAACCTTTGAGAGTAACTTCAGCACCTGATCTGCAGGGCTCAGTGTACCCCTGGTCATAGTACCCTGGGATCCTGACTGATCAGTTCAGGGAATGGCATTATTGGACTTCATGTAATTTAGCATCAGGACTCATGTAGCTTTCCAAGGGAAAAAAGAGTCAGAATGACCACCAAGTTGGTTCTTATGAAGTGGAAGTCAGAAATACC